GGAATGATATATGTGCAAGGTATGTGTTAATGATATTCTGAGGTATGGTTGTTGTAAAGGATGTGAATTGGTATTGGTGTTGACAAATTATTGTGTGTGGATCCTGTAAAGGTCATGTGATGGCAAATTGGCATATTATGAATATACACCATGATAACATCATATTGCATTAAGTCTTGTGTGACATGCATCATATACATATTGAAAAATCATTGTGTGTGGATCTTATGAGGGTCAAGCAAATTGGAAAATCAATACATATATGTTTATACATATATTTGACTAGCGTCACATGCATATGCATATTGTAGTTTGAATCCATTGCATTACTTAAATGAATGTGTATTGTGTGATGAATTTTGTTGTGAACTGTGATTGATCTTGTTGCACTATCTTGTCCTTAATATATATATATATATATATATATATATATATATATATATATGTGTGTGTGTGTGTGTGTGTATGTGTGTGTGTGTTATTGTTGTTATGTCTTGATGTTATGTGTGTTACTATCTGACTATGTTTTACGTTGTGAGTTAGAGTGAGATGTTTTCTCTCCCCCATTTTCTTTTATTAGTGCTCGTGTGTATGTGTTACATAAGAGGATCATCAGATGGATGATTAGGTTGGAGATAAGGCTTATGCCTTATACTAGATGTTGTACTCTAATAACATGTGACATCGGGATTTACCTAGAATTTCATTTTGTTGGTTTCTTTATGTTTAGGACTTCATGTTAGATTTCATTTTATAATTGCTATATTGAACAATTGTCTTAGTTATTTTGGTGACATGTGACTATGTGATACTTCTATCTAACGGAATTTGTGAACATTTGTTTGATCTGTAAAGTTTATTTTTGAACACTTTTTCATCTTGTTATTTTATACACATATGTTAGTATGTGAGATAGAGGGTGTCACAATGTGTTGATATGTTGTGTTGTTCATATATGTCATGTTGAGATATTGATGAGTTGCTTAGTTGTGTTGTAAGTTGAAAATGTTGTCATGTTATGTTGAAAAACTGTGTTGATGTGTGGATCTATGTTGTTAAGTTGTTACCTTAAATGGTTGTTAAATACTGACTTGTTGAAATTGTGGCATATTTAGTTTAATATTTCTATACCATGTTGTTTCTTTTAAAAACCAAACTTACCCTTACATGTTTTCTTGTGATTTGGATTATGATGATCATACTTTTTATAAGAGTAAGACAAGATTAGGCAAGAGGTGTGCCATTTTGGGGCGAAGAATGACGGTGTTGTTCCGAGCTACCTCGGTGTAACATTTTCTTTGTAGTTGCTTGATCGACAACCAGGATCATGTATCACTTTGATTATATTCTATGTGTGTGTGTATGTACAAAACTGTGGTGTAATTCTATTGAAGATTTTTTTCTTTTAATTTTAATTGATGGTTTTCTTTTACATATGTATATATAGTTGAATGTATACTTCAAGAACGACTTGCATGGTAGTTTTAACTAGTTATATTTATGTTTTTCCACTATTAGTTACTGAATTGTAAAATGTAAAAATATGTCAAATCATTACAAATCCAAACAAAAAAAAATTATATTTATCAACATTTTAAAATTTAGATAAAAAGTAAGTTTTATTGATACATTAACTCTACTTTTTATTTATTTCACAAAAAATATTATTAAATAGTAGTGACAAATGAATTCATTTATCTATCATCTATTCAATCATTTTACAAGTAAATTCATTTATTATAATAAAAATAAATAATTGATTAGATATAATCAATCCATATAATTTCATGGATGGTTAGTAATTCATTTACTATTTTTTCATAATCTATTATATTAAATATGAGATATTTATTAGATTAAGATTGTATAAAACTATTTCAACAAATTTTTTTTGTGAAATTTAGAAGACTATATAAGAATGCAATAACTTATAAAGAAAAGAGAGAGAAATAAAATATTTGTAAAAAGTAAAAATTATTTAATTTTTAAAACATTATTTTTATAGATGGATTGAATATCCACTCATAAAAAAATAGTTAATAAATGAATTGGATGACTTTTTTGGTTTAAATGAATTGAATAAGTTAGATTTTTATATAAATTTTTAATGAATCTAAATAGAGTAATGAATTATTTTTATCTAATTTATTATCTACTTTTTAAATGTTCCAATTCGAGTCTGTCACAATTTCATTCTTAGTTGAATACAAAGGAGTTAACTTTATTTTTCAAGTGTCTCTTTTGTTTTACATATTAAAATGAATAAATTATTATGTAACAAATAATATCTAAATATTAAAATGAAATTTTTTTTTAAAATCAAATAGTATCTTAATGCATTATTTTTATACTACTTCAATTTATCTTTTAACATTTTATCTCTTTGAGTGTATCATTTTATATTTATCTTTATATATATATATATATATATATATATATTCAATTTTTATCTCCTTAAATATATTATTATTTAAAAATAATTTATAAAATAATTTTATATTATAATATAAATTATTTATCATAAATATAAATTATAATTTATATTTTTAAAATTATCTTTTATTAATAGTTAATAATCAACTTTTATATATTAAACATAAACGATAACATTTTTAAAAGTGTTGTCATTTAATATTTTTATAATATTTATTTGTGATTTATTAGATTTTAATATTTTTAAAATAAATTATCATTAATTAAAAATAATATTTTTTTAAGAATATAAAAGGATTACTAAAAGTAATATATTTATTTATTTTAAACTCAAAATATATTTACTCGTATATCTTAAAGACAAATGACTATCTTAGTGTTTTGATAAATTCTTTGAAATTTCTATTTAATTCAATTTTTTTTTATCATATTTATTTATGACTTAGATTTTAATACTTTTAAAATAATTTATCATTAATTAAAGTTTTTTTGGGTAAATATAGAAAAATTACTAAAAATTATAAATTTATTTACCTTAAATTCAAAGTATAATTTTCACATTTAAAAATACCTATTTATACTAATTTTGTCAACCTCTATGTATTAAAGGTAAATAACTATCTTGCATGAAAATGTTTTTAATAATTATTCTTTAATGATTTGAAAGATTTTTTTAAGACTCCGTCTAATTAATTTTTTTTATCATATTTATTTATAACTTAGATTTTAATATTTTTAAAGTAAGTTATTATTAACTAAAAATAGTATTTCTTTTTTGTAAATATAAAGAACATTACTAACAATATAAATATTTATCTTAAATTTAAAGTATAATTTATATATTTAGAAATATCTATTTATATTATTTTTAAATATAATTTATATATTCAAATATAACATTTATTTATATGTGATTTATCATAAATTTTAGTTATATATAAAAATATTTATTTACACTCCTTTATCTTTTTTTTAATATCTTAAATTTGAATTATAATTTATATATTTAAAAACATTTATTTATACTAATTTTAAATATTTAAATATAATATTTATTTATACATGATTTATCATAAGTTTTAATTACTTATAATAAATAATTATTTATACTCTTTTATATTATATTTTTTTAATTATATTTTTAAGTTTATTTTAGTTTTTTATTTGTTAAAATGTTTATTTTAATTATATATCTTTTTGTATTTAGATCAATGTGGTCCTTTTAAAATAATTGTCATTTTCAATTTCATAATATAATTTTGAATCAATTTTTGATTGATTCAAGACATTAAACTTATAATATTAGATTTATCAATGTGAAAACTATAAAATTTAATTATTTTTTAAATTAAAAAAAGAACTATAAAAAATTGTGCAAAAAATATATCTCATAAATAACTAAAAAGTAATATAAGAATTATATAAAATTAATTTTTTGATTTTTATGAACTTATTTATATGTGATTTTTATCGTGTTTAAGACATTTTTTTTTTGTTTAAATTTTAGTTGCATTAACTAATTTTCATATAATAAATTTAATGAGACAAATTTTAAGGCTTAAATTAGTCAAATCTTATTTAAAATTGTGCCTCAAAATTGAAAAAAATAATTATTTTAAATCAATCAAATTAGACTCAAGTTTAACAAATAAAAAATCAAAATAAACATTTTAAAAGATAAAGGACTAAAATAAATCTTAAAAATAAGATAAAAGATAAAAATATATATAATTATCCTAAATTTTACAAGTACATAATTATCTTTATCTTAAGTAATCATTTCTAAATTTTTATTGGTATACATATTATAATATTTATCCTTACCTATATCCAAATAATATATTTATTCTATTTTATTATTAAATTTGGGGTAAAAGCAAAATGATTTAAACAATTCTATTTGTTATATATTTTATTATTATTATTTAAAATAAATTAGATACTATGTTTTAATTAATTTTTTTTATTTCTTGATGGTTAATGCTAATATAATAATAATAAATTCATGTTTATATATTAAGCACGTGAACTAGGAACTTTTTTTTTTTGATGAATTTTTTTAAGGAATTTATTTAACTATTTACTAATTTAATTTATACTTATTATATTTATTTATTAATAATTAAACTTTAATGTTGTAGAATAAATTTATTTGTATATTAATTTATTACATATTTTAATTATATATAATTAATATTATAACAAGAGATGATGAAGTGATAAAAATGCTAATATCTTTTGATTTAGATAAAATGTTTTTATCTTTTCTAAATTGGATAAAATTACTATAGATATGTTAAAGAACTTTTCAAAACATTAACTGCAAGGGCACCCTTATCACTAAAAAAATTAATTTTTGTTTAAAATTAAAGATACGAAATCAAAGTGTATTACATGAATAACCTTTCCTAAATTTGGCCAATTACCATCCTTAGAGTTACACACCTACCCTTGAATCTGATGAACCACATAGAACAAAAAAGAGTGTAGGGCCATGAACCTCAATCATGCATGTGATGTCCCAAACTGATTCCTGAATCTGAACCTCCAAGTGGGTCCCACCTCATCCACCTCATCCCACCATGCTTCCTCCGGGTCCTATAAAAGCATCTCACACTGGCCCATTCACTTCACAACTCATGCTGTCTAACACTTTCTTTCACCCACACTCTCTCACCATGGAACATCGCAAGCCATTGTTACCCACCTCATCGCATGAAGCTCCCAATCCACGCTCCCGCAAGGACCTCCTTGTAGTTCTTTTTGGTTTGCTTTTGCTCTCTTCCCTTGTTGCCTTTGGGGGCTACAGAGTCTCCAATGTGTCTCATGATCACCAACGTAGTAATACTAACAGTCCCAGTCCCACATCGGTGCCTTCTTCCAAATGGTACCCGGTTTCGCGGGGTGTTTCTTCGGGGGTGTCGGAGAAGTCGTCCAACAAGTTGTTTGCTGTTAAAGAAGGAGCTTCTGAAGCCTTTCCTTGGGATAACAGCATGCTTTCGTGGCAGAGAACTGCTTTTCATTTTCAACCAGAGGAGAACTGGATGAATGGTAACTCTTCTTCCATCCCTTCTTTTTTCTTAGACAAATTATTACATGTAAGTACCAGATCCAATTTAATCAGTATATAATTTTATTAAATAAGGGAAAGCTGGACCCTCTATATTACGGTTCTTGAATAAAAGATACCTTATAAATTCTAAAAGAAATACATTAGAAAAAAAATAAATATATATATTACGTAAAGATCCATGGGAATGTTAACAAAGAGATCTACTGGGAATAATTCTTTTTTTTTCTATGTCAACTAGTTGAAATTAGCTATCAATGAAACCTTCATTTTTTAAGAGATGTCGAATCGTACGGATAATTTTCTCTGGCTGAGATAATGGAATTGAAGAAACGGTTGTCATTTGATTTAAACGAGAAGTTGTTCTCCTGGTCGCAGTAAATTGTTTGTAGTTTCCAACTTACATGGATTGGGATTTTGTGGGTCTCTCTACATGGAAAAGGATCATATAATATAATGAAAAAAAAGGAAATCAATGGAAAGTGATAAAGACGATTATCGAAGATTAGCCGATAAAATATGTTTAACTTTTTAAAATGAATATTTTGTAGGGTCACAATCCGTCTCGTGACGTTGTCAGATGATTTTTTTAGTTGAAATAAAAAATATTTTGTTTACTTTTGAATGTTTGTACTCTTTCTCATTTATCTAAAGCTAATTTTCTTCCTATTTTCTTTTTTTGTTGGTGAATGTGGCTTGGACTGATGGGGGAACTTGGTTTGCTCTGCTTCAGATCCTAATGGTAAGGACCAATTCTTCCTTACTTAAAGTTTACGTTAGTTGGTTTAATTCATTGTTTGTTTTCTTCTAGTTCACCAATTTTCGGGTTGAATTGTCTCCTTTCATCGTAATAAATAGCATTTAAATAACGTGATCGAGTTGGTTTGTCAATTTTATTTAGCGGGGTCTAGGCAGTGTACAATTTGATTTTGACATCCAGAAATTTTGGTTTATCAATAAAATACCAGAAATTAAGTCAGCCTCACAAAATTATTAGCAAAACAAATAGCTTTTCCGACGTTATTGGAGTTTGGCATCACCAAAGTTTAAAAAGGGACCCGCGTAATATTGAATATTTGATGTTGAGTGAACTAAATTAAAATTAAATAAGATGTCATAAAACACAGTGAAATGAAATGAAATTATTATTTTATTTGATTAAATATTTTTATAATAAATAAAAACAAAAACATAGGTTAAATTATTCACTTAATATTTATAATTGCCGTCTTTTCAAGTTTAGTCTAAATACAGAGAAAATAAGCTCAAGTCCCAAAACAATGTTTTTGTGATAATTTATCGATGCAAAATAGTCTTTACAGTGGTTTTACTTCGCCAATTTTTTTTCTCGTATAAGCAATAGAGATTAAATTAGGCATGTATAAGAATTAAAACTTATAATTTTCTCATAGAGATAAAAAATTAAAATAGTAACAACTATAAGGATTGAGTGAATAATTTAACTTAAAACATATTTCTTCTCACACCATCAAATTCAGGAAAATAATACTTAATGGAATGAAATTGCATGCATTCTTTTAGATTAAGTTTCGTTCTTTTTCATTTTTAATAATTTAAACAAAAAAATCCAGTTGCACTTCATCCTTATCTCCTTCCATCATTCCGAACATCAATTTTTTTTGTTCAATTAATAATATCAAATTTTAGAATCCTTAACAATTAGTCACAACCATTTTGACGTGGTTGCTACAATTTATATAATCCAGGTCCTATGTACTACAAGGGATGGTATCACTTTTTCTACCAATACAATCCGAATGGTGCAGTTTGGGGTGACATAGTTTGGGGACACGCGGTGTCAAGGGACATGATCCATTGGCTCCACCTTCCATTGGCAATGGTGGCTGATCAATGGTATGACAGGCAAGGAGTGTGGACAGGCTCTGCCACCATCTTACCCGATGGTAAAATCATCATGCTATACACAGGTTCCACCAACGAGTCTGTGCAAGTGCAAAACCTTGCATACCCTGCAGACCCCTCTGACCCTCTTCTTGTGGATTGGATCAAACACCCTGGGAACCCCGTTTTGGTCCCTCCACCAGGCATTGGTGCCAAGGACTTCCGTGACCCTACTACTGCATGGCTCACATCTGAAGGAAAGTGGCGCATCACCATAGGCTCCAAGCTCAACAAAACTGGCATTGCCTTGGTTTATGACACTGAGGACTTCAAGACCTATGAGCTCAAGGAGGGGTTGCTTCGTGCTGTTCCTAAAACTGGCATGTGGGAGTGTGTGGACTTCTTCCCTGTGTCTAAGAAGGCTGCAAATGGCTTAGATACCTCCTTTAATGGGGCTGAGGTGAAGCATGTGATGAAAGTGAGTTTGGATGATGATAGACATGATTACTATTCAATAGGGACTTATGATGAGAAGAAGGTTTTTTTCACACCAGATGATTCTAAGAATGATGTTGGTGTTGGATTGAGGTATGACTACGGTATATTCTATGCATCCAAGACGTTTTATGATCAGAGTAAGGAAAGGAGAGTTTTGTGGGGTTGGATTGGAGAATCTGACAGTGAATATGCTGATGTGGCCAAAGGTTGGGCATCTGTTCAGGTATATTTATATATAATATAACAATTTATTTTTTGTGAGACTAAAATTGTTTGTGAAGTTAATCAATCAAAAATCACGTTAAATATGACTTTTAGAACAAATATTGTAAAAATCAACAAAATTACGGTACATGACAATTTGTAATTAAATGATAGAATCCTTTTACATTTTTTAAAAGCTTTATCTCTCTGTTTTTCAATGTGTACATGTGTTTTATAACTATATAGTTAGTTAATAAAAGCATTGTTAAATTTTGATTGTACAGAGTATTCCAAGAACGGTGCAGCTTGATACAAAGACTGGCAGCAACTTACTTCAGTGGCCTGTTGCAGAGGTGGAGAGTTTGAGATTGAGAAATGATGAGTTCAAAAATTTGAAGGCTAAACCAGGGTCAGTGGTGTCACTGGATATTGAAACAGCCACACAGGTTCGTATTATGGTATCAAGTTTCTAAAGTTGTAGACATTTAGCTACAGATGAATAAATGTGAAGCTCAATTACCTGACATTGTGTCTGCCAATGTGACAGTTGGACATTGTTGCTGAGTTTGAGATAGACAAGGAATCCCTAGAGAAAACAACTGAATCCAACGAGAAGTACACGTGTAGCACTAGTGGTGGATCTAAACAACGTGGTGCCTTAGGACCTTTTGGTCTTTTGGTTTTGGCAGATGACGGGCTTTCTGAGTATACTCCTGTGTATTTTTATGTCACTAAAGGAAGCAACGGAACTCTTAAGACCTCCTTTTGCTCAGATCAATCAAGGTATATTGGACTATCTGTTTTTAACCTTGAAAGTTATCCTATTTTTGGTTCCAAAACACAATAAATATTATACCCATTAACTCAATTAGAGACGTGAAATAATTTTGCATTAGGATGCTATAAATTCACTATTGAATTTGTTATTGTTTTTGTAGATCTTCTGTGGCAAATGATGTTCATAAGCAAATCTATGGGAGCATTGTTCCAGTACTTAAAGGCGAAAAGTTTTCCTTAAGAATACTGGTAAATAAGTAGAGCCTTCTAGTTTTCTTTAGTTTTCTTGCTCAAAAAAGCACAAATCTTAGCACATTAACCAGGTTAACTAATGAATTTTCATTGAATGTCTGATAACTATAATTTAGGTGGACCACTCTATTGTTGAAAGCTTTGCTCAAGGTGGAAGGACATGTGTGACATCTCGGGTTTATCCAACAAAGGCAATCTATGGAGCTGCTAGATTGTTCTTTTTCAACAATGCTACTGAGGCAACTGTGACAGCTTCATTCACAGTTTGGCAAATGAATTCTGCATTTATACGCCCATTCCACCCTGATCAGAAGAGTTAAAATTTACATTGAAGATAAAATACTCAGTCACGAAGCATTGAAAAACACGTTGGGTTGGCAATTTGTACTTATCAACTGCAATGACCTCCCCATGAAAACGTACAAAGTTTTGGGTTATTGCTCACGGCCCATTCTTTCATTTTTGCCAATCATGTTTATGAGAATGTTTATTGAAATTTGATCGTATAATGTAAAATGGTGCTTGCGCGAGAACCTGTTCATCAAAGAAATATGATGTTAATGTTCTCCAATTCTCTAGTAAAAATCTTTTATGTTAATTTTTATGTGAATTCTTTTTTAGATGTGTCTAGAAATTAATTAAGTTTAATAATTATTTATTGTATTTTTTATAATTTATAAATCACTTTCATATGATATAATGTTTTTAAAATTGGATCTGATACGACTTTAAAATTCAATTGTTTTAATTGTAATTTAGCTTTGGTTAAATTAATATTAATAAAATAATAATAACATTTAAATAATATATAAAATAATGTTACACAATTATAATATCATAATTTTATAAAATTATAATTAAAATAAAATATTATTTTATATATTTTTATTTTTAACGTATGTGTAAAAGTTTAAATATAATAT